TTACAATCTTACTTGCGGGTGGGCGTAGCCACCATCCCATGCAGGAGTCGAACCAGCAGCCTTGTTGTTAAGAACACACGCTCTATCCACTGAGCCATCCGAGCAGCAGCTCAGCTCAAGGTGCCAATTTCCGTCTTAGTTGGGAGTGGGTGTAGCCCACCATCGAACAGGCAGTCTTGTTAGGAGCACAGGCTCTCACCAGCTGAACCATCCTGCCACCTGTTGGCAGCTCAGTGGCAGCTCAGCTCAGGCGCAGCTCACTGGTCCAGGTGAGAATAGAACAGGCGGCCCTGTTGCTCAGAGTTTGCTCTCTTAAGCTAACTCTTAACTAACTGAGCCACTGAGCCAGCCCTCGGATTCCTTTTTGAAGTTTGATTCTAAGCCTTCAGCGATGGCACTGGAGCATTCTTTAAGAGCATTTGGTCTGTCTGAGACCAGTGAATCTCCTGCAGTTATGCTAGAACCTCCTGTAGTATCAATGGAGTTATCACAGCTACACACTTTAGGAACTCTGAAGCCAGCTACAAAAAACGCCGAACTGTCCATTGCATCCATTGGGTTGTTGGAAAAGTCATGACATATTTTTTCTGTTTTTCATTGCAAAAATGCGTCATGACTTTTCAGACAACCCAATATATCAGTAATCTCAGTTCAGTCAGAGCAGTCTGTGGCAGCAATGCTGGAACCATCCATGACAAAACCCCTGGATTCTTTTGCAACAGCACCAGTACCTACTACAACAGTAGCCCTAAAGTCTTCCGAACCAGTTGTAACAATGTCAGATGAAGTCTGTGCTGAAATCTTTGGAGAGTACACCACCAGAGCCATCAAAGACCATTGCAGAGCCTCCAGTAGCAAAAGTGTTGGAGCCATCAGAAACCCTTGTATTATCATCAGAGACACCTATTGAGGCACAACCTGAGCCAAGCACGTCAACAACAATGGGTTTTCCAGAGTCATCTGCAACTGAAGTACTAAGATTGCCAGAGCAGCCTGTAAAAGTACCATTGGAGATTGAAGGTTCATCCATGACAAGATCACAGGAGTTGCTGGAGCTGCCCAAGACCACAGCATTGGAGCTGCCAGAGTTGTCGGTTGCCTCAGCAACTCCATTGCTGAGGCCACCTGGGACCTCCATGCTGGAGTTACCTGGGCCCTCTGCTACTCAGGTGCTAGAGTTGCCAGGGCCCCTTTCTACCCCAGTGCCTGAGTTGCTAGGGCTCCCTGCAACAGCAGTGCCTGAGTTGCCGGGTCCCTCTGTGACATCAGTGCCACAGCTGTCACAGGAATTGCCAAAGCTTCCAGCTCCTCCATGGAGTTAGAACCACCACAGGAGGTACCAGAGCCACCTGTAATGGCACAGGAGTTGCCAGGGCTGCCTGTGGTGACAGCAGCAGTAGAGTCACCTGCCATAACAGTAGCAATGGAGTTGACTGAGCAACCTGTGACGCCAACAGAGTGGGAGCAGCCTGTGGGGCTGCTAGAGTTGACAATGGTGGAACATCCTGGGCAGACTGAGATTACAATGGCAATAGGATTGCTGGGGCAGCCTGAGGCAGTGATGGTGCTAGAGTTGCCAGGACAGCCAGTGGCAACTAGGGCACTGGAATTGCCTGGGCAGCTCATGGCAACTGGGGCACTGGAGTTCTTGGNGCCTTTTGGGAGTGTCACTCAAGGTACAGGATCTGAAAACCCATGGAAATCCTCATCCTTAGATCCCAGGGGAGGGGGTAGAATTCTGGTGTCAATCCCATTTTTCTCCGCTTTGGGTTGGGCCAGCTGGAGGTACAGCCTCTGCCTGAGGGGAGATCGGGCAGGTGCCTCCGCAGCCCCTGGTACCTGCGCGCTGCAGCGTCTCCTTCCCGTTCTCCAGGTACCTGCGGAGCCACTCCACGCACTCCCTCTCCAGGTATGCCCGGTAGCGCTCAGCTAATCCGGCCGCTTCCCACTTGCGACGGGTGATGTGTGCCACCTCGTCCGCCGCGTTCCACGAGCGCAGGTCCTCATTCAGGGCGATGTAGTCAGCGCCGTCGTAGGCGAACTGCTCATAGCCGCGGAGGAAGCGCCCGTCCGGCCCCACGTCGCAGCCAGAAGTCCACTGGAAGGTGTGAGACCCTGACCCCGCCCCCGCCGTCAGTCTCGCCCACTTAACCCCGCCCCAGAGCCCCGCCCTGCCCATGTCGTCTAACTACCCAGCGCTTTCGATCTTTGGATCAGTCTGTTTCTGCCTAAATTGAAAACAAAATCTGAGTAAATCCTCGCTGGCTTTTGGGGTGAATCTCGGGCCCGGAAAGTCGGGGGGACCCCGGCTCATCCAAGGGGGACACAGGTCGTGACTGGGACCTGGGCCCGCGTCGCTCACCAGACTCGCTCTGGTTGTAGTAGCCACGGGCCGTCTCCAGGTTCGATCGCGAAGTCTGCGCGTGGACCTTGGCGATCTCCGTCTGAGCTTCCCAAAACTGCGGCCCCTCCTGCTCCACCCACGGAGCGCGCGGCTCCACCTTCGGAAGCGCGGCGTCGCTGTGGAACCGCAGGAACTGCGTGTCGTCCACGTAGCCGACGGAGATGTAGAGGGGCTCCCCGCGGCCGGGCCGGGACACGGCGGAGTGGAGATATCTCAGGGAGTGGGAGCCTGGGGACGCGAAGGGGATGAAACCCAGGCGACCCTCCTCCCGGCGCGGGTCCCGGTCCGAGGTCGACGGGTCGGGAGGGGGCGATGGGGCCCGTGAGACGGAAAAGGGGCGACTGGACGCAGAAGGGTGTGAGGGGAGGGGAGGGGGAAGGGCCGAGGCGGCACAGAGGTGACACGCCTTCCCCGGGGTCCTGCGTCCCCACCCGGCGGCCCTCCAATCCTCCCCGCAGAGGCCGTTCCCTCTCGACCCCGCACTCACCCGCCCAGGTCGCGGTGAGGGCCAGGGACCCCGAGAGCAGCAGGAGCAGCGTTCGAGGACCCATGACCCAGACCCTGAGGGTCTGGGAAAACGAATTCTGCCAGTCGGTGAGGACTTGATAACCCGGAACCGTGGTGACGCTGATTGGCTTCTCTAGAAACCAATGGGACTGAGACCTAGAGCAGCATCATTTGTGTCCAGGAAGAATGACCTGAAACAGGTTGTGAGAGGTAGAAGCGAAACTGGGGAGATGAGGAATCCCCAATTCTTGTTTGCCAGCCCCAGACATTGCCCTCCTGGCTGAGACCCTGAGAACCATGCTTGGGGACCTGGGACTTTGCTCTGACCCCTCCTCTGACATGGAGAGCTCTTTATCACACTGTCTCCCTGAGCTTTGGTCCAGGGGCTGTCTGAGGAAACCAGGGAGAGACGCCCCCGCCAGGCTGAACCCAGCCCCGTTTCCTCTTCTCTTCCCGGATTCCCTCTACCTGAACTATACTCCTACTCCTTAACTCCCCTTCCGGACTCTTGTAGAAGAACACTCAGGGAATTTGATACCAATATGAAGCTGGCCTTGGGAAAGTTGGTGAACAAACAATAAACCTGGTTGGGGTCACCTCTAGAGATTCCCATAGGGACCAGCTTCCTTCTTGTTTATTAATCACAGTGGGTAACACAATTTTGATAACCCCTGAACATCAGGAATCTGTAAAAGTAGTGATTTCACCCTTCGTATATACCGTATTTCCCCATGTATAAGACGCTCCCATGTATAAGACGCACCTTAATTTTGGGGTCCAAAATTTGAAAAAAAATTATTACATAAAGTTATTGAACCCAAGTTTTATTCATCATAAAATTCATACAACTTCTCATCACTGTCAAAACTCCCAACCATTAGCTTGTCCTCATCCGTGTCTGATAACGAATCACCCAATTGCCCTTTGCTCTTCAATCCATACCTTCAATTCCCTCTCTAAATCTGGTCATTTTGCTGACTTGCCTCTCATGACCTTCTTCTGCCATGGCGTTTTCAGTAGGGTTTCTTCTTCCCATAGCCAGTCTCAGATTGTTTTCTCAGTTGGAGGAGGACCAAACTTACGTTCAGCAGCACGATTTCCATTCACTTTTGCAAACTGGATCAACTTATATTCAGCACTGTACAAAAATCTTTTCTGAGCCATTTCTGGACAGAACGTGGCAAAATGTAACAATATACTGGTAACAAGTGCGAAACAATGAGCGCAAAGACAACAAGCACAAAAAAGCAGGAAATGCAAGTTAAAAAAAAAACTACAACCATTGTATAAGACGCACCCAGGTTTTAGACCCCAAATTTTTTGAAAAATGGTGTGTCTTATACATGGGGAAATACGGTAAATGTGTCTAAACAGCCCTGCAATAACCAAAGCTCCTAATTTTCACTTTCCCAAACCGTGGCTCCAGGTTTTCATATTTTAAAACTATCTTCATTCTGTAGCCCAGAGTTTGTCTGTGTGAGTCCAGACACACATGTCCTCAATAGAAAAAAGCACATTGAAGCACAGTTTGTTACTGGGTATTATCTGTGCCTGGGCCTTTATTTATAAAGGTGACTGAGTGATGCCTGGAGAGGCTAATGCCATTGAAAGAAGATTTTTTTATTACTTACATTTCCTGAGAGGAGGAGGTGGCACACCACACAAGGCCACATGGGGAAGCACCAAGACTGGTCGAAGGCGGGAGGAGAGGAAGAAAACATGGCTCAGATCCTTTATTGTGTTTTCCTCAAGAAAGGCAGGACTGGAGAAACATCTTAGGATTGACTAGTCTGAATAAGGTCATTGGCAGGCTCTGCATGATAAGGGTTGTCTCTAGCTGTCTGGTACCTGCCCTGGGTAGTCAGGACAAAGGAATATTGTATCCTGGAGTGTAAGAGAGCCTGAGAGAACAGGTGGTTCAGAATATGAGCTCTCGATTGTTTAGCTTTCAAAGGAAAGTCATGCTCCTTGGCAAGCCCTTTGCTGTCTCTAAGAATGGCTAGCCCTAGAAGGCGCAGTCTCTCCCCAGTTATCAAGGACACAAATGCAAGAGCATCAGGAATACAGAAAATAAGAAAATATTATTGGCAGATGCCATGACGACCAACATTGAGTAGATTTTTAGGTCTTTTGTGGTCAGTAAATTCCGCGAAATTCAAAAGGAGCTTTGAAGTGGAAGTAATAAAGGCCAGCCTAATGGTAAAACAAATACACCTATTGAAGGAAACCAGGCAGGTGATGAAGCTGCCTCTGCCAGGAGTCTACCAAACGAAGAGATCATTCAGAAGATAGAGGAAGTACTTTCTGGGGTCTTAGATACACAGCTATGATATAAGCCAGACTTGAAAGAAGCCCCAGAAAAAGTAGACGTGTGTCTGTACAAACAGATCCTACTGATGAAATTCCCACCAAAAAGTCAAAGAAGAACAAAAAGCACAAAAATAAAAAGGAGAAAGAAAAGGAAAAAAATATAAAAGACAGCCAGAAGAATCTGAATCAAAGCCGAAATCACATCATGATGGGAACATGGATTTAGAATCGGATTCCTTTTTTTTTAATTGGGTAATTGGGGGAGGGG